GAGGGTGAGGGTGAGGGTGAGGACAAGTTCAGCCAAGTGGAGGAGGGTGGTACTTCCTGTAAAGACTTCATCCCATTCTCTCAGTTCCTCCTTCTCCGTCGCATATGTTCAGATGAGGCTAACTTCAACAAGGTAGCCTCCGAAATGTCCACATTCTTCCTCAGCTCCGTTGTCGACAGGGCCCTCAATCAGGTCCGACGCATCTCCCGCACTTCAGCCCTCACCCTTCTCTTCCCTCCCGCAACAGCGATGGGGTTCCCCTTATGCTCACCTACCATCCCACCAGCATCCACATCCAGAAGACCATCAGACGCCATTTCCGCCACCTCCAGCAAGATGCCACCACTAGACACATATTCCCCTCCCCTCCCTTGTGCGCCTTCCGCAGGGACTGTTCCCTGGTCCACACTTCCTTCACCCCCAAAACCTCCCCACAGTCCTACGGCACCTTCCCCTGTAACCGGCGAAGGTGCAACACCTGCCCATTCACCTCCTCTCTCCCCACTATCCGAGGGCCCAAACATACCTTCCAGGTGAAGCAACACTTCACTTGCACTTCCAAGAATCTAGTCTACTGCATTCGCTGCTCACAATGTGGTCTCCTCTACACTGGGGAAACGAAGCGTAGACTTGGCGACCGCTTCGCAGAACATCTACGTTCTGCTCGCAAAAAAGACCCTGAACTACCTGTTGCCTGCCACTTCAATGCACCACCCTGCTCCCTGGCCAACATCTCTGTCTCCGGCTTGCTACAGTGTTCCAGTGAAGCCCAACACAAGTTGGAGGAGCAACACCTCATTTTCCACTTGAGGACCCTACAGCCCTCCGGACTCAATATTGAGTTCAATAATTTTAGGGCCTAAACTCTCCCATGTCCCAGCCCCCCACCCCACACACCAGGCCTTGTTACCACATAGCCTGCCACTACACACCCCCTGTTGTTAGTCACTAACAGTCCCCATTAACAACTATTCACCCTCCCAGCCTGATCGTTAGCAACTCCTTTGTCTGTCCAACTGTCTTTCTCTCTCTTTGGGCTCTATCCTATCGTTTACTCCCTATCCCACCCACCTCCCTATTTTCTGCATATAAACTGACATTTTCCCAGCCACCATCAGTTCTGAAGAAGGGTCACTGGACCCGAAATGTTAACTCTGTTTTCTCCTCCACAGATGCTGCCAGACCTGCTGAGCTTTTCCAGCAACTTTGTTTTTGTAACTCAACAAATAGTATTTATTATTGTAATTACATCATGGGCACACTGCATGGTATCCCCTCCACCTCCATCTTTTTTCTACAAAAGTATATGTATATATATATATATATATATGTGTATGACCAGTAGGCATTCTAATATAATTGTATTACCCAGAAAATTCCAACATACAGAAATGACTTGGTCCCAAGGTGGACTGGAGAAGACACGGTGCATTCATCCTTTGAGTAAAGTTTGCTTGTGAGCATATTTTCTAATTGACTGAAACTTCATAGCTAACTCTTGGGGACTCTTGTGGTGTTATAGTGTATCCCTATCTCCAGGCCAGGAGGACCAGTCCCACCAGCTCTGGAGGTGTGAATATTTCTCGTCTTTATGGGAATCAGATGTAATGGTATTGCAATTGAGTAAAGGTAACTACAAAGACATGAGTTAGGAGTTGGCCAGAATCGATCAGAAAAGAAGCCTCGCAGGGAAGACAGTGGAGCAGCAATGGCAGGAATTTCTGGGGGTAATTTGGAGGCACAGCAGAAATTCAACTCAAGGAAGAAGAAACAGGCTAAGGGGAGGACGAGGAAACGATAGCTGGCAGTGGAAGACAGGGACAACATAAAAGCAAAAGAAAAAGCATACAATGTGGTGAAGATTAAGGGGAAATCTGGAGGATTGGGAAACCGTTAAAAACCAGCAGAGGCTAACTAAAAAAAAAAGCAGGGAGGAGATTATGTTAGCTAGTAATATAAAAGAGGATTGCAAGAGTTTTTCACATATCTAAAAAGGTAAGAGAGAAGTGAAAGTTGGCATTGGACTGCTGGAAAATGAGGCTAGGCAAGTAGTAATTGGAAACAAAGAAATGTACTGAATAGGTACTTTGCATCAGATTTCACGGTGGAAGATACCAGCAGCATACCAGAACTTCAAGACAGTAGCGGGGCCAGAGGTGAGTGTAATGGCCATCACTATGGAAAAGGTGTTGGGGGAGCGAAAAGGTGTTGGGGGAGCTAAAAGGTCTGAAGGTGGATAAGTCACCAGGACCAGATGGACTTCAGCCTACAGTTCAGAAGGAGATAGCTAAGGAGATTGGGGAGGCATTGATGGTGATCTTTTAGGAATCACTGCAGTCAGGGAGGACTGGAAAATGGCTAATGCCTGTTTAAAAAAGGAGAGAGGCAGAAGACAGGAAACTATAGGCAGTTAGCTTGACATTGGTTGCTGGTAAGATTTTAGTGTCCATTATTAAGGATGAGGTTGAGAAGTATTTGGATGTGCATGGTAAAATAGGGCTGAGTCAGCATGGCTTTGTCAAGGGGAGTCATGCCTGATGAATCTGTTAGAATTCTTTGAGGAGGTAACAAGCAAGTTCGATAAAAGAGAGCCAGTGAATGTGAACCATTTGGATTTTCAGAAAGCCTTTGACAAGGTACTGCAGAGGAGGCTGTTAAATAAGAACCCATATTGTTAGGGACAATGTGCTAGCATGGATAGAGGATTGGCTAAATGGCAAAAGGCAGAGAGTGGGGATGGCAGCCAGTGACTAGTGGAGCTCTGCAGGGGTCAGTGTTCGGACCATGACTATTCATGTTATATATGAGAAATCTGGATGAAGGAAATAAGGGCATTGTTGCTAAGTTTGCAGATGACACAAAGATAGGTGGAAGGACAGGTAGTTTTGAGGAAGCAGGGAGGCTGTAGAAGGACTTGGAAAGTCTAGGAGAGTGGGCAAAGAAGTGGCAGATGGAACACAGTGTGGGAAAGTGTGAGGTTATGCACTTTGGTGGGAAGAATAGAGGCATAGAGTATTTTCTAAATGGGAAAAGCTTTGGAAATCTGAACCACAAAGGGACTTGGGAGTTCTAGTCCAGGATTGTCATTCGGATAAGATGCAGGTTCAGTTGGCAGTTGAGAAAGCAAATGCAATGTTAGCCTTCATTTCGAGAGGGCTAGAATACAAGAATAGAAAAGTACTGTTGAATCTGTACAAGGTTCTGGTGAGGCCACCTTTGCAATTTTGTGCTTAGTTTTGGGCCCCATATCTGAGGAAGGATATGCTGACCTTGGAAACAATCCAGGGGAGGTTTACAAGAATGGTAAGAAATCAGCCCAAGCTTAGTGGGCTGAAAGGCCTGTTCCCGTGCTATATTGCATTGTATTGTATAAAGAGCTTGGCATATGAGGAGCAGTTGGGGACTCTGGGTGTGTACTTGATGGGGTTCTGAAGTATGACGGGAAATATGATTGAAACTTACAGAATATGGAAAGGCCTCAATAGAATGGAGGTGGAGAAGTTGTTTCCACTAGTAGGAGAGGCTAGGACCCGAGGGCATGGCCTCAGAGTGAAGTGACGGCCCTTTCGAACTAAGATGAGGAGGAATTTCTTCAGCCAGAGGGTGGGGAGTCTATGGAACCCATTGTTACTGAAGGCTGTGGGGGAAACGTCATTGAGCGTATTTAAGACAGAGATAGATAAGTTCTCGATTAGTAAGGGGATCAAGGGTTATGGGGAGAAGGCAGGATGGGTTTGAGAAACATGTCAGCCATGATCGAAAGGTAGAGCAGGCTTGATCGGCTGAACGGGCCAATTCTGCTACTATTCCTTATGGTGTTTCGGTCTTATGGAAAAGGTAGTAGATTGGTACTAAACAATACAGCCTGTGCGGGCATGATGATCTGAATGGCCTCCTTGTGAACTGTAATATTTTCATATTTCTGAACTTATCTGGTTAACATTTGCCATGTTAATTATGGAGACGATACGAAGGTAGGTCACGTTGTCAACAGTGCGGAGGGCTGTTCTAGGTTACAAAGGGACATTGATAGAATGCAGAGCTGGGCTCAGAAGTGGCAGATGGAGTTTAACCCTGAAAAGCGTGAGGTGATTCATTTTCGAAGGACAAACTTGAAAGCAGAATACAGGGTTAACGGAAAGATTCTTGGCAGTATGGAGGAGCAGAGGGATCTTGGGGTTCATGTTCACAGTTCCCTGAGAGCTGCCACCCAGGTAGATAGAGTTGTTAAGAAGGCGTATGGTGTGTTTTCTTTCATTAATAGAGGGATTGAGTTCAAGAACCGTGAAGTTATGCTCCAGCTATACAAAAGCCTGGTTCGGCCACATCCGGAATATTGTGTCCAGTTCTAGTCGCCTCATTACAGGAAAGATATGGAAGCGTTAGAAAAGGTGCAGAGGAGATTTACCAGGATGTTGCCTGGAATGGAGGGAAGGTCTTACGAGGAAGGGTTGAGAGAGCTAGAGCTTTTCTCTTTAGAACGACGAAGGATGAGAGGTGACTTGATAGAGGTGTACATAATGATCAGAGGTATAGATAGAGTGGACAGCCAGAGACTTTTTCCGAGGGTGGAGGTAGCTTTTACGAGGGAACATAGTTTTAAAGTGAAAGGAGGTAGATATCGGGGAGACGTCAGAGGTAGGTTCTTTACTCAGAGAGTGGTAGGGGTGTGGAATGCATTGCCGGAGAGGGTAGTGGAGTCGGCCTCATTAGGGGCATTTAAGCGGCTATTAGATGGGCATATGGATGATATTATAAGGTAGGGATGGAGGTTAGATAGACCTTAGGATCAGGGTAAAAGTTCGGCACAACATCGTGGGCCGAAGGGCCTGTACTGTGCTGTACTGTTCTATGTTCTATGTTCTTCTCCTCAGCCAAGTGCCTCAGGATATTTTCTCTTGCCCTTCTATTCAAAAGCCAGTTGCTGTGTCCACTTGATGAACCTGTTCTCGTTTTTAAAACAGCACGACTGAAAATTTGATTAATTGAGCATTTTTTATTTTTTTTTTCACATTGCAATAACCTTTTAGCGAGTTTTTTTTTCATGTGTGTCTCTGATAACTATACTTTACATTTTAAAAAGAAAAGATTCCGGCCAGTAATATACAGTAATGTGCAGCACGATTTGGTATGGGGGGGCTTTCAGTGTCTCTGCCAGTGGGGAGAGAAAAGGAAAGTTCCCGGAACGATTGCCGGTGTTATGGTCATTCAAACCACCGATGCCACTGAAGTCACGGAAGTGATTTTGCTGCTGTCATCTGCCCAGGGCTGGAGGTTCTGCAGGGCATATAGTGAGGCATTGTGCAGACACAGGGGGTCAGGCTGAACGGGCTGAGTCAGCGATTTCTGAAAGGCCTCTTGCTGGAGCTGAATCATCAGTCGGTTCGCCTGCTGCCTCTCAGCTTCCCGTTCCTCAGCCGTCTGCCTCCTGATCGGAAAGATTACCAGAGAGAAAACAGGTCATTTATGGGGAAGAACTTCCTTGTTCTCTTATGGAGTCAGAGTCATACCGCACGGAAAAAGACCCTTCGGTCAAACAAGTCCATGCTGAACATAATCCCAAACTAAACTAGCCCCACCTGCCTGCTCCTGGCCCATATCCCTCCAAACCTTTCCTATTCATGTACTTAGCCAAATGTCTTTTAAACATTATAAATGTACCCACATCCACCACTTCCTCTGGAAGTTTATTAACCTCTGTATATAAAATTTGCCCCTCATGTCTTTTTAAAATCTCTCTCCTCTCACCTTAAAAATGTGCCCCCTGGTCTTGAACTCCCCCATCCTCGGGAAAAGACAACTACCATTAACTCTGTCTATATGCCTCACGATTTTATAAACTTCTATAAGGTCAACTCTCAACCTCCTATGCTCTAATGAAAGAAGTCCCAGCCTATCCAGCCTTTCTTTATAACTTAAACCTTCCATATCCAGCAACATCCTGGCAAAATGAGATAACAAGGTGTAGAGCTGGATGAACACAGCAGGCCAAGCAGCATCAGGGGAGCAGGAAGGCTGACGTTTCGGGCCTAGACCCACTAAGAACATCCTGGCAAATCTCTTTTGAACTCTCTCCAGCTTAATAATATCCTTCCTGTAACTGGGCGACCAGGACTGGACACAGTATTCTAGAAGAGGCCTCACCAATGTTTTGTACAACCTCAACATGACTTCCTAACTCCTGTCCTCAAAGGACTGAGCAATAAAGGCAAGCATGGAGTGGCATGGTGGCTCAGTGGTTAGCACTGCTGCCTCATAGCGCCAGGGACCCGGGTTTGATTCCACCCTCGGGCGACTGCCTGTGTGGAGTTTGCACAATCTCCCCGTGTCTGCGTGGGTTTCCTCCGGGTGCTCCAGTTTCTTCCCACAATCCAAAGACATGCAGGGTAGGTGGATTGGCCATGCTAAATTGCCCATAGTGTTCAGGGATGTGTGGGTTATAGAGGGATGGGTCTGGGCAGGATGCTTCAAGGTTCAGTGTGGACTGGTTGGGCCAAAGGGCCTGTTTCCACACTGTAGGGATTCTACGATGATTGATCTGGTTCCTGTCTGCCATTTTGGCTGATCATATAAGATACTACTTGTACAATGAGCTCAATGTTGTGGGAGAATATTCATCCTTCAACTAGATCCATTCCAAAACCCTGTAATTCCCTTCCTATTTGCATTATGGGTATACTTACACGCACATGGACTGCAGCAGTACAAGAAGGAATGGGCAATAAACACTGGCCCAGACAGCAATGCCCACATCTTATGAGTGAATAAAAAGATTGTAATGATCACTTTGTGGGAACCTGCTGCATGCAAATTGGCATGTTGCACTTTTTAAACTACACCGTGAAGTCCTTGAAACATTCTAAGATTGTGATATCTCATCCTTGTTCTTTAATGGAATATGAACTCTATTAGGGCACCACTGTGACTCAGTGATTAGCACTGCTGTGTCACAGCACCAGGGACCTGGGTTTAATTCCAGCCTCGGGAGACTGTACTTGTGGAATTTTCCCACTCTGACCGTGTCTTTGTGGGTTCCTCTAGGTGCTCCACTTTCCCCACACAGTCCAAATGATGTGAGGATTATGTGGATTGGCCATGCTAAATTGCTCATAGTGTCCAGTGATGTGCAGGCTGGGGGGATTAGCCAATGGGAAATGCGGGGTTATAGAGTAGGGATGTGGGTCTGGTTGGCATACTGTTTGGGGGGGTCAGTGTGGACTCAATGGGCCAAATGGCCTGCTTCCACACTGTAGGGATTCTATGATTTGTTGCCTATCACGAATTGCCCTTGTACTAAATGGCAGGCTAGACAATTTCAAATCCAACCACATTGCTGTGGGTCTGGAATTACATGAAGCCAGACCAGGTAAGGATGGTAGATTTCCATCCCTAAAGGACCTTAGAGAACCAGAATCACTGAAGTGTGAAATGAAAGAAGGAGGCCATTTGGCCAATCACTACTGTACATGCTCTTCAAACGAGGATCAATATCTAGTGCAATCTCCTGCTTTATCCCAATACCCCTGCACATTATTTTTATCCAAATAATCATCCAATGTCCTCTTTAATGCTTTCTTTTATGATAATCAATGGTAGTTCCACAGTCACCATGCCTAAGATTAGCTTTATGTTCCAAAATATTAATTTAAGGCAAATCAGGACAGGACTTATACACTGTATAGTAGGGTCCTTGGAGTGTCACAGGTAGACAGGGTAGTGAAGAAGGCTTTTAGTATGCTTGTCTTTATTGGTCAGCGCATTGAGGAGAGGAGTTGGGAGGTCATGTTGTGGCTGTACAGGACATTGATTAGGCCACTTTTGGAATACTGTATCCAATTCTGGTCTCCTTCCAAGTGGAAGGATGTTGTGAAACTTGAAAGGGTCCAGGAAAGATTTACAAGGATGTTTCCAGGGTTGGAGGCTTTAAACTATAGGGAGATGCTGACCAGATATCCTAAATTAATATAGTCCCATTTGTCAGTATTTGGTCCATATCCCTCTAAACCCTTCCTATTCATGGTGCCTTTTAAATGTTGTAATTGTACCAGCCTCCACCACCTTCTCTGGCAGCTCATTCCATACACTCATCATCCACTGTGTGAAAAAGTTGCCCCTTAGGTCCCTTTTAAAAATTTCCCCTCACCCTAAGCCTAAGCCCTCTAGTTTTGGACTGCCCTCACCCTGGGGAAAAAACTTTGGCTATTCACCCGATCCATGCCCCCAGCCTCCGATGCTCCAGGGAAATAGCACCAGCCTCTCCCTATTACTCAAACTCTCTAACCCTGGCAACGTCCTTATAAATCTTTTCCGAATCCTTTCAAGTTTAATAACATCTTTCCTGTAACTCCTTGCTCTCTTCTTATAACCCTGCAAATCCTTTCTCTTCCATCTATTAATCTATTTCCGTGCGGAATGTTACACTTGAATCTGCCTCAATTTCCCCTCTCAGGCAACTTGTTCTAGATTGCTATATCTCATCGTGTTTAATAGAGTGAAAAAAAAATCATATCCTGCCTAGTTTTCTTGCTAATAGTCTTTAAATCTGTGTCCTTATTCACCAACTTTCTTGGGTCCAGTTTCTCCTTCAGCAAAGTGCCTCATAATTTTGAATGCCTCTATAAAATTATCCCCTTTTCTATTTCAAGAAGCTGGAGGTTGAGGGTAAAACATGTGGCAGCGTTCACTTACATGTTAACACACTTGGATCTTAAATCCGAAGAGACACATTTATATTGGATCTTGGAACGTTAACCATTTCTCTCTCTACAGATCGTACCAAATCTGCTGGGATTTTCAAACACTTCCTGTTTTTCTTGTACCTGAATGGGGCCTGAATATGGGAGTGAACTGGAAGCACTTAATGTCTTTTAGTTACTCTAACATTCTTGGGAAGTTATCCTATTCATACTTCTCACAAATGCGGCATGTTTGAACACGTTGGCTCTAACTTGCGGCGAGAAGTGAGCTACAATTTACCTGACAAATTCAGGTAATTGGTCTTTCCTTGGGGATGGTATCAGATTCTTATGTCAGTGATAGGCAATTAGCCTGGTGAAGACTGTCCTGAATACCGAAACACACACACACAGACAGACAGACACGCAGACACACACACACACACACACACACACACACGCACACATACACACATAGACACACGTGTGCACACACACACGCGCGTGCGCGCACAAACACACACACCCTCCCCCCCTCCCTGTGAAATGACAGTACAATTAGCTGTTGTAGGGGAAGTGACAAGTAAGCACCCCATACTTTGACAGCAAGTGAGTTCACCAACTTAAGATCAAAAGTACCGCTCCCACAGCAGCAAGTGCTGGTAATGGTTTTGCTAAATTGCCTACAGCTCCTCCAGACCCACAACGTGCTTCTTTAATTGTCCCATTGGCACCCGCCCTTTTGCCTCATACCACCACCTCTTTTGTCATTTAATCATTCCTGCCCTTTGTTCTTTCTTTTTCCAGTCCACCACCCCAAACTCCTTCCCGACACTGTTCTCTGGCTCTGGAATTTGTTTATAAAATCCTGTGTCTCAAACATCTGGCAGGTTCTGCTGAAAGACCATTTCCTAGAAACATAAGTAGCAAGTTGAAGTTAACCCACCCACTGAAGAACTGAAGAGACAAAAACAGAAATTGCTGGAGAAACTCAGTAGGTCTGGAAGAGAACATAAAGCAGAGTTAATGTTTCAGGTCCAGTGATCCTTGTTCAGAATGTTCTAAAGAACATCTCAAACTATTCACGCTGCCCATTCTGCCTCCAGGAAAATGGAAAATGTCATATCTGGATTGGGACTTGTGATTTCTGGGCTCGTCACTCATTTTAATCACCATAGACAGCCCTTCTAATGTGTTGACTATCCAGGATCAAGGTAATATTTCAGTTCAAGGACTTTTCTAGTTCTGAAAAAAAAATTCTCGATCTGAAACGTTAACTCTATTTCTCTCTTCATTGAATCTGGCAAGACCGGCTGGACATTTCCAGAGTTTTCTGTTTTATCTGAGATTTCCAGCATCAAAAGGCTTTTATTTTTGTATGGAATCAGGGTTGTTGGATGTAGCTAAGACAGTGATCAGCCTTAATGAGAACATAAGTAACAGGAGCAGGAGGAGGCTGCACAGTCACTGGAAATTGACCGACCTTATATTTTAACACAAATGTAGAGTCATAGAGTCATGCAACATGGAAACAGACCCTGTGGCCCAACTAGTTCGCACCGACAATGCTCCCAAACTAAACTAGTCCCACTTGCCTGCATTTGGCCCATATCCCTCCAAACCTCTCCTACTCATGAACATATCCAAATGGCTTTTAAATGTTGTAACTATACCTGGATCCACCACTTCCTCTGGCAGTTCATTCCACACACGAACCACTCTTTGTAAAAAAAAAAGTTGGCCCTCATGTCCA